TATCTAGCACTTTTAATTTATTGTAGCCTTATGACTAAGTGTGTAGGGATATTTTTAAAAATTTATAATTTTATTTTGAAAAAGTAAATTTTAATGTGTCATTGTTGTGTTTTATTTATGTGGGGGAGAATTGAAATAATATTGTAGTGTCATGATTAAGTGCGTAGGATATTTTTAAAAATTTATAATTTTATTTTAAAAAAGTAAATTTATAAAGTGTTATTACTATATTATATTTTTATTTATATGCATAATTTTCTATCAAATTATCTTACAATTTAAGACAAAAAAATATTATTTATATTATATATAAATACTTCCTAAACTTGGAAAAGAAAAATCCACACCACCAGTGACAGAGCCAACACCCTAGCTTAGGGGGTGTGATTTAATTTAAAAATATTAATATTATAAAAATAAATATTTAATAATTAAAAAATAATTATATACATTACAATAATAGAGGTGAAAAATAATCACAAAAAGTTATTATTTGTGATTTCATGTTTTAAAATTATATTGTTGAGCAAGAAATAAAAAGTTAATAATGAAAAAAATCATTGTGAAAAATTTGGATTTGATTTTGTAATTAAAAGGTGAATAATGATTTTTTTTTATGAAGGTTGTCTCATGTATAGTAAGAGTTTAATATTTTGTGTTAAAATTTATCATGCTTAAACTAAATTATTATGGGTTTGAAAAATTTGTAATTAATATACTTAGATCTTAATCAGACTTGAGTGATATTAAATAATTAATTAAGGATATAAGTGTAAAATATAATGATATAAGGTGTGATTGTGTAAAACATTAAATTTTTCACCATATACTTGTAATTTTTGCCTAATTAAAGGGGTGCATCTGCCCCCTCAATCAAACGTGGCTCCGTCATTGCATGCCACCATATATACATGTAACATGCAATATATATCACTCATGCACACACGAGGAGGGAGCACTGGCACAGGGTGGAGAGAGGTAAGTGAGGGTGGAGAGAGCAAGTAAGGGTGGGGATGCATGTATGTTGATTTTTTTTTCTTTCATGAGTACAACTCAATTTGATAGAGATCAAGTTTTTTTTTTTTCCCCTCTTTCATGAGCACAAACTCAGTCTGACAACTTTTATATTAAAAAATGTTCAAATTTCGATATGATACCAACCATGTTTTAAGTATATGGGAAAATATTTTTAAAAGTGTAGTATATGGATAAATAAATAAAAAAATTGTAGTATTGAGATCAATTTGGCCAACAAGTCTTTACATTGTAGCCTGAGGTACTAGTATGATTGGAAGTGGAAGGCTTTTTGTAGGTAGAAGATCTCGAGGACTTTCCAAGCAAAGACCAAATAAATATCAAGAGCAGCTTGAAGAACTTGAGCTTCGCTAAGATATTGTGCTCCCTAATTACTCAAATTAATTTCCCGCCTTTGTCTTGCCTCCACAATTCCAAAAGAACTCTCAATCAACCTTCCAACTAAATCTTTAAAAAGATAGGATTCCTTGAGATATACCAAATTTGCAGCATTAACAGGATCTTTCAATAATAACAAGTTATGCTTTGAAAATTGTAGTTTATGTCTATTTAGATAATTACAAAAACCCACAAAGTGATTGCCAAGATCCAAAAGAAATTTTCGAAGACAATTGGGTACAGAAAAAGGGCGATTCAATTGAAATATCAATGTCCTACACAAATTTGCAAAGTAATTGTGGGAGGTTTTTTACCACCCGAGTTCCATTGAACTTCTAAACCAACAATCAAGTAGCCACAAAAAGATCTATGGAGGTGTCCATTAAGTTTTAGCCAATGTTGCACAACTGAAGATTTTGAAGTTATAGTGACACCAACTTGAAGTCTTATCAAGAATGATGGAAAAATATAAAAGAATAGCAAGGAGAGACTTGTTCATAAATGTTTTGGGCCACGGTTGAACCTCCAGATATCAAGATCACAATGAGTTCCAATGATGAATTAGTTTTAAGCCACCAAAAACATAGCAGAAGAGAGAGAGAACACAGAAAGCTTAACAAAACATTAATTCAAAAGCAGGATGAAGATCTGAGAGTAAAGTCTAGCTTAATACCTTAGTAGGCCTAAAGCCCCTCCTAATTGAACGCCAATGTTAAGGCTCAATGAAGTAATCAATCAAATTGCACCAAGAGCAAAGATATCCAAAATAATTCATAAAGATAGGGAAATGTAAGTAGGCTGGACGATTGATAGATAGATCCATTTTTGTTTCTAAACTGATATTGAGACTCTTAATCGACCTAGACCCTCTTTCACTTGAAGACTAATGGCAACAAAAAGAGAGAAGCAGTACGACTAAGATGAACCAAGAGAGAATCATATAACAGAGACTCTGCTATCAATCCTAATAGCTCACGTGTTGAAGGGGGTTGATTCTAGGTCTTTAAAGGTTCTGTGTCAAGTCTGAGACGAGAAATGAAACCAGAATTAGAGTAATTCCAAAATTTGGCCAACATTCTCGTGTATTTTCAATCATATATTCTTTGAGTAGTGCTTCAGCTCTCGCACTCTATTGTCCAACTATGTGACTACTATTTTGAACCATTCTTCTTCAATGCTAAACAAAATCTTCCCCACATGGTAGCTTTGATTCGATTCAAAAGACAAAGGCAAGGCAACAATGAATGGCAAAGAGGAAGATCAAATCAGATCAAAGGCACATAAATTAGTTCTTGTCTCTCAAATGCTGAAAGTCAAATGTTCTTGAGCCTCTCGTGTTCACTTTGATTTTTCTATTATCTTGGGTCTTAAAATTTGACTTAAGTTATGATGTCGATTTTTTTTTCATATTAAAAAAAAGTAGGTAGCCAAGCTATCTAAATGTTCTTAGTATAAACCATATTGGGCCCATTTTAAACGAGAATGTTGTATAAATCAATTATAAGTTGAAGAAGTACATAATATCTTGGTATAGTAACAAGACTAGTCTTAGCCAAAAGAGATGATGTCAACTATACTCCTACTAACTCAAGTATTAGCTCTCCCATAAAGTGGTACCAGAGTTATCAGGTTTCACATAGAATTAATGTGAAGATTATTCATTGTTTAACAAGTGATATAAAAATTAGATTTTACTTTGAAGATGACAGAGACTTGGTATTTCTACACATTCTAATAATCATAAAAGTAACCAATGACCTATTTTTAGACAAGTGGTATTAGAACCACTTTGACATCAAAATTGTCAGGTTTCACCTCGAATTAATGTGAAGAATATTCGTTGTTTAATAAGTGATATCAAAACTACATTTTATCTAGAAGATGGCATGGACTTGGTGTTTCTTTGTATTTTGATAATAATAAAAGTAAATAATCAGTTATCTATTTTCAAAAAAGTAGTATCAAAATCACTTTGATATCAAAGTCATTAGGTTCTGCCCAAAATTAATGTGAAGATTATTCATGGTTTAACAAGTTGTTTAGATTAAATTTTACTTAGTACATGACAGAAATTTAGTGTTTCTGTGTGTTTCTGTGCATTTTGATAATCATAAAAATAAGCAATCAATGATCTATTTTCAAATAAGTGGTATTAGAACCACTTTGATATCAAAGTTGTCAAGTTTCACCTACATTAATGTGAAAGATATTTATTGTTTAACAAGTAATATCAAAACTAGATTTTATTTAGAAGATGATGACTTGGTATTTCTTTGCATTTTGATAATCATAAAAAAAAAATAATCAATGACCTATTTTCAAATAAGTGTTATCAAAATCACTTTAATATCAAAATTATCAAGTTTTGCCAAGAATTGATGTGAAGATTATTCATTGTTTAACAAGTAATATTTTACCTAGATTTTACTTAGATGACAAAGATTTGGTTGTTTCTCCCCATTTCAATAATCATAAAGCCTAATTTGGTGTGATGGAATAATTTTTTGTGGAATGAGAATGTAAATGAAAATGGGAATGGGAAAAGAAATGAGAGTGGAATTAAAAAAGCAACAAGGCCATGTGAGCCAAAGAAGTAGAAGAGAAAATACAGTGAGAAATAAGGTGACGTGTGAAAGATAAGGCAAAAGTTAATAGTTGCACAAAGGAGAAGGTCGACCAAAAAAAAAGGTAAAAGCGTGTAAAATTAGGGAAAAAATGAGAAGAGTACTAATGTTTATCCAATTATTAATTGGATATATTTTAGTTAAAAAAAATCCATTCTTAAGACATGGAGCCATTACTATAATTTGCTAAGGGTTGCTTGGTTGGAGGGAAGAAAAAATTGTAATATAATAGAAAATGATTCTCATCTTGCCCTCTCAAGCCTTCTATCCAAATTGGAGAGGGATTTGGAGACCTCCCTTCCCTTTCCCTCTCTCCAACCAAACATAAATTAAAAGAATGCTCATTACCTCAAATGAGGTAAGAGGCCATTACATTAGAATAGCCATTCTCATATACCAAAATTTAAAAAGGGCATTTCCATTCCATCTTAAAAATATAAGTAATCAATGGCCCAATTTTAATTAGATTTTATATTTCTTGATGCAATTAATTTTAATATAATATATTTATAATAATAATTATACATCTAACCAATCTCTATATATGCGAAGAACAATGAACTTTCTAATCGTTTAATCAAGATTCTAATTCGTATATCAAAAAGTTTAAAGATCTTGATATAAAATATCAAACTTTAATCAAGTGCACTGAAAATGAGTTGGAATAACTTAACACAAACATTAGAATTAATCATTGATAGTCCGATAACAAGATATAAAATGTTGGCTTATTTCAATCGCACAACTTATAAGAATATAAATCTAACTTAGTATTAAGTAAAAAGATAAAAAAGTGTGTCTAGCCATATCTGGAATAGAATTGATTCTAATAAGAAGATAAATATAAGCAATAGAAAAAAATCAAAAGTGAATAAAAATCCTATTTGATTCTTGGACAGAATGTATATTATAACTCAAAAAGAGTTCACCAAAAACGAAAATGTTTAATAATTTACAATACAATTGAAATGAAAATATGATTCATAGAAGGATAAATTATGTTTTCCATTCTTACAAAACTTTAGCACACCAAATGGTTTCCTTGAAAAGAAGGAAAATTACAGCACAAAACTAAATATTCTCACATCAAACGTTTTCCTAGATGCTAGATAAAAGGACAATGATACACTTAATTCTACGCATAATAAATAAACAATTTGGGTGCGTTTCAACTCACTTTCAAAAAGTTGCTAGTTATAAGTGCTGATCAGAGTCGTCCCTCTCTCTCCGTTTGTGAATCTCAAATGAAGTTCCCTGTATCTTGATAGAAAGAAGGTTGAAGAGCGTTTAATTTGATATCATAGACTCTAGAGTCGGAGATCCCATCCCAGGATTCAAAGGGCAAAGAGCGAGCATAACCAATGTGGCTTCCACACTTACGACAAAGAAGCTTGATTCTTCGCCGAAACAATCCCCAGGATCGCTTTGAATTGAAGAATGGTATCCATCGAAGTTGTTCGACCATAGCGAATCTGCTCTCGTCCACGGAGAAGAAGGAGATTATGCCTCGCTTTATCGATTTCTCATACCTAGCATCAATGGCGGAAGTGTTGCGATTACAGGAGTTCAAGTTCAGCTCATATCCACACGAGCCACAGCTGCATCAATCGGAAACCACCAGCTCGCATCACCGATTCCTACTTTCAACTTCACATCAATTTTCGATGCCTTTACTATTAATAAGTAGCTATATTTCAGACACGAAACCCTTTCAGATACAGCAAGATATGAATCGCATCCATTAGAAATAGCTCGCATCACAAATTTCTATTTGAACTTGACAGTAATGGCAGCAAAGCTATAAATACTATGAATTCTTATTACACGCTACAGAGTGCAACGCCAAACATATATATAGGAGAATGAGAGAGAGACCTGTAATTGACATCTCTGATGTACGACGAAGACAAGTGAAGTTCTTCACATCCCTCGTGCATATCGTCGGAAGCGATCATCGTTTGCGTGCCTGTGTTGGGGTAGTTCAGCTCCGAGACGCTTCCATTTATAAAACTGGAAGCTTAAAAGGGGAACAAGACGCCATCGGTCGATAACGGTAACAAAAGGAACTGCTCATTGGGGCCTGTGGATCGGTCTTGGCCCAATAAACAGGAAAGAAAAAGGAGTTTAAAAATGTAATATGGCCGAAAAATGTGGGAGATTGTGATTGTTAATAAATTTTGAAGGAAATAAATGTTTTTGCAGAAAAAGTCATAAGAAATAATTTTTGTCACTTTCGGTGGAGTGACGGGACAAAATCTATCACCATATTTTTTTTTTCACAATGTTTATAATTTTATTGTCATTATTTTTTACTAGTGTCACTTTACTATTTTTAAAGTAAAAGAAAGAAGACATTTTTCATTTATAAAAATTTTATTTATTTTTTTCGATTTAATCCATTTATGAACAAGAAACTTCTTGACATTTGATTAGTCATTATTTTGTTATAAGCAACAATAAGGATTTTAATATAAATTCAATCAGGGAAAATTTACCGACTTTAGTCATTATTTCGTTATAAGCAATAATAAGGATATTAATGTAAATTCAATCAGGGAAAATTTACCGACTTGAAAAGTCAATTTCTTTACGGAAGTATGTGTTTGCTTATCAAACATATTGAAGAAAAAGCATTTTAGGTGTTTAATAATCAATCTCAGAGGACGAGTAGGTCTCATTTGGGGTCATAATTGCAAGTATGAACAGAAAATAAGTGCTTCCTGCCAATATATACAAAATACAATCCATCATGGGAAAAACACTGTGTAATACAATTTGAGGGGTGCTGCCTCCCTTGTTTATAGACGAGGCAGTCAAAATTTGGCCCCTGTTGAAAGATAAAGAGAAATGAGGATGATTGATACTTGCAGTTTCTTTCTTAATCATGTTCTTCGTATACAATGATCAAGTGAACTAAAAAGCCGAATTTGAGTGTGAAAATGGACAAGAGACAATAAAATAACGAAAAATGCAAAAAACATTCTATTACCTGAAGTGGAACTTTTGCATCCCATTTCTTCAGATCTTGTGGATTAATTATGGAAATCGTGCTGCATCTTGCATGCTTTTCAATAGATTTTGCTCAGTACTTGAGCCTTTTTTGGCTTTTAAACCCCACTTTAAGGCGGCCTCTATTGTTCAGCCTCACACCCCGGTGACGTCGAAGCATCTGCCACCAATGCAACTTCTTCCTATTGCCACGTTTGAGGTTCCTTGACCCTTTGATCTTAACAACGTTAGAAGGCTTTTGTTTCTTAGGATGTCGGATGCGTCTCACAAGGCCCTCCACGAGTCCATGAAACTGCCCAACCTGTTTTCCATGTGACACTTTTGCAGTGGCGCCTCCTCTTGTCTTCTCAGCTCTTCCTTTTGCTAGCAACCTGTGCTTGTTTTTGCCATGAAAGATCCTCTGCCATATAGAATGTCTATGATCCGCCTTACTCATTTTATCATCATCTTTATCGTGATGATGATGGTGGTGAAGATGGTGGTGGTGGTGAAAGATAAGTCTCAGCTTATTTTTCAGCCTCCTCAAATGTCCAATTGTCTTCTCGGGGCCTCTCCGATCCCAAGATCTGCTAGACCTTGAACTTCCCATTCTATTTGAAGAGCCAGCATCATTTTGAGAATATAAATCACTACTCTCTCCTGAGCTATCCTCATATGCTTCGCTAACCATCTTTCCCGGCGAATCACCAATGTCCTCAGATTCACTACTATAAAAGGCACTGCTTTGATTAGATGTCAAGCGAGCAGGAGAGCGAGAGCTTAAACTGAACTCTTCTGATTCATGATGATTTGGTGATGAAGCCCTCATCTTATGAGTCCCTCTATTCTCCAGAATTTCCCTGTCTCTGTAACCATGAGGGGGCATTTCAGGCTCACTGGATATCCAGTGAGGTAGAGCTTGTCTTGTTTCCGTATGATGAAGTGGCTGCTTCTCTCTCCTGTGAGTCTCTAACTGAGCCACTGGGTTTCTTCTGGTTCGCTTGTCTCTATTTGTTGGACCTGCTGTTGTGGAAGTCAGAGGAATCCTCAACCCCTGTATACACTCATTGGCCCGATTCTCCAAGCAACCATTCCCACTCATTGACCGATTTAATGACTGAAATCTGTCTACCATGGCCATGCTCTGTGATGGAGGTCGAAGCCCATTCTGGCTTAGCAACTTCTCTCCTCTTGAAGCCAGCAGGGTGGCTCTGCAAGCCTCGCCCTTTTGACGACTTTCCTGTGTTGTGATGCCATGGTCATTTGCTTGGTCTAAAATCTGATCTTCCACCTTACTCTGTGACTCGTTTCCCGTTAAGATGGGCTCCAAAAATGTATTTGCTGTGGTCAAATTTTCACGCTTACTAGCTAGTTGATTTGCCTGCTGATTCATCAATGCATTTCCCACAAAAGGAGGTTTTCGATAACTAGGTCGATTTCCTGCTATTCCCTCACTTTTCTGTCCTATAGGACTCCATGGATCTGTCATCCTACACATACTCTTGCCACCTGCACCATTCTTTTTGGAATATACTAAATTTGAGTAAAGCTGCAAAGCCAATATACGAGATTCAATTCTTTTTATCACATTAAACAAGTCATTGGTGATGTCTCCCTCCTCGTCCTGAGCTTCAGCGCAGCTTGAATTGCTTTCAATTTCACAAACTCTATATGGTAATGACGTCTCCCTGACTTCTCTAAACTCACCAGCTCTCGAGTCGAACGTGTCTGGGGATTGTTTTGAGTGCTCACCCACGTGAAAAGTGCTCACGCTATAATGCTGTTCACGACGACTATTCTCTTTCATAGGAAAAATGGGATTCTCGTAAGAAAAATTTGCTGCCTTGACTAGATCCTGCTGCATTATACAGCTTTCTTCACAAACATTGAAGAGCGCTTTTCTAACTGCTTCACCTTTGTCAGAGATGCTACATTTAGATAGCCTTGGACCAGATTTCTTAGCCAGTGACTTTGATTGGGGTTGTTCATCCTTCCATGAAGAAAATCTACCGCGTGTTGGATATTTTACAGAGCAGTGAGAACTGTTGGCTGCCAATAGAGGCCTTGACTGGAGACTGGCCACAGGCTGAGAAGTGAAGAGTGTCTTGGAGATACCAGCTTCTGCTGCTATGATCTATTAAGTGAACACAAAGGAATATAAAATTAGACAACAGAATTGCTATTTGTATTAATGCATCCCGCCTAAATGTTTCGTGCAAGTAAAATCACTATCGAATAAGTGTGTTTCCTTGTCACCCCAAGGAAGAAAAGTGGCCTTCCTTCTTTAAAGGGAAAGAGAAAAGAGAAAAGATGAAAAGAGAGATTAATGATCTTTTCCGCAAATAAAAGACTATGATCTACATGAACCTTTAAAAGAGTCTCGAAAACCCTTTCAGATGCTACTTCCAGCATTACTTTCAGTAATTCTCGAGCTCTCTCAACCAACTGCTAAAGACAAAAGAATAGAATATTGAAGGAGTTGGTCCTTAGGGTGCTTTAATTAGCAATAAATATTAATACAAAATCCAGCCATGAAAAAATAAAACAACAGCGTAACATACTTTAAGATTTCTTAAAATGTCACGCAGAATTTTGGTTTAGAGCACTCAAATAATGTTGTAAAAGATAGAAAGAAGTCGACATAAAAAATTATCATACTGAGGCTGTAGTGCTGTAGTGGCCAAACAAAGGAGAGGAATGACCTCAAAAGGTTCATAGAAGAAAATAAAGTTAGGCCAACACATGACTTTGATCAAGTTTTCCTCTCAAATCTCTGCCCTACATATGCCTCAGGTGAAAAACGAAGCACTATGTGAAAATAAACATTTTCAGTCCATCGACATTCTGCATAGAATGTGAAAAATATTAATCATCTCTCTAAACCTATTAGAAGTCAAAACAGTTCATCAGAAAATGAAGGAGTTAAAAAGCACGATGAAGTTTGATAGGAGGAATAATTAAAATCTCCTGGCAAAGCCCAGTACGAGGAGAAGAAAAACATCAAAATAAAAGAACACTTACATCATCTGAATTTGTATTTTGCAGGCCAAGGCTATTATGTTCAAGGAGCCTATATAACAGTCTCATAGCACGGAGATTATTTTCTTCTTCCTCAAGTTCCATCTTTCCTCATCAAGACACCTAGGTATTGCATGTAGAACCATCGTTAAAATCAGACATGACCATAGGCGGACCAATACTACGCCCCCATTGAAATCTTTGACACATGCATGGTTGATATAATACTCTTTTAATTTTTGTTCCAGATACTTTGACACAACTCGAGCCAAGTCATTTACAAGATCATACATCACAATACCTTGAGAATTTCCAAAATTGATGATATTATAAAAAGATTAATAAACAGAAATGCCAATACACAACAAATCCAACACTGCAAATCAACATTATCCAAATCATGCAAGTCTCTAGTAATCAAAATAAAGAGGGAAGAAATATAATACCAATTACACACCATTCAAGCAAAAACTACTCCCAAAAAAAAAAAACTCAATATGTAAATATTCCCAAATTCAAAGGCGTCAATATTCAACGATTATACGGATTAAAGCCAAATTAAAATGAAAAATTTAAAACAAATCAAGAGTAGCCACGCGGGGAACAGATGAAGAAGGAAACAAATTCAAATGTAGACTCAAAACCAGATCGAACAAATCAATCTCACCCGATATTGGGAGTAGAAAATCCCCTAGGATTCGAACCTTCCTCACTGCTTACCGAAGAACAAACACGCAGGGCTAACAACGGTGGACGGCGTCCGACGGAGTATGGGATACTTGTTCGTCGACGAAGAGAACTGGAACCGTTACTCACCAGAATTGGTTTTGAATTTACTGGTATTTGGTGTGGGTCCAAAATTCATTTCCTTTGGGGAAAACAAAGTTAGCAAAATTAATTTAAAAAATTATTTTATTAATTTATATTTAACTCTTTTATCTAAAGTATTATTAAACTCTTGGTTTTATCTAAAGTATTATTAAACTCTTGGATATATTAAATATTCTCTTCGTTCGAAAATATAAAATATTTTTTAATTGAATCTCATCTTTTAATAAATAGTTATTAATTTTTAAATTAATCTTATCTTTTTTTTATTTACCTCTATTAAACACTTATAATAAATATAAAGTCATTATCAATAAAGACACTTTTGATAAAAATGTAATGATTACATCTCAAAAAATTAAAAATACTTTATATTTTTTAATATTCAATTTCTTAAAAAAATACCTTACATCTTTTAACAAAGGGATTATACTTTTTAAGTTTTTTCATTTTCATGTTTTCTAATTTCCTCATATTCCTGTTTTTCAAATAATTAAGAGGAATCTAAAATTTTTACTAGAGGATAGAAATGAAGTTGACCCAAAAAAGTTGATAAAAACAAATGTTAATACATAGTTTTATATTACCACAAAATATACATGAACAGTAAAGACAATAATTCAAAAATATATAAAAATATGAAATAATAAAATAACTATTATTTTTATATCATAAATAAATATATTAAACATTTACTAGTAATAAAATATAAATTCTGATATATGAAATTATTTTTTATTAAATTAAAAATTATATTAACTTAAATAAATCAAATTCAATTTAAAGATAAACAAGAAAATTACAATATTGTTATAGATTTAAAAGATTGCTTGTTATAAATTAAGAATATCACTTATGACATTTGAAAAAGATTATATATTTTACATAAATAATAAAGTTTTAAAATCTCGACCCTTATTTGAGCTCTACCTCCAAATTAACATAACGGAAGATGGTTCATGTTTATAAATTTATATATTATTAATTTTTTAAAAGAATTCTAATAAAAAAATTGCCCCCACTAATTTAAATTTCTAAATCCGTCACTAGACATACCATAGAATTATGCAGGACAACGAGTTTATTTATACTCTATAAATCAAAGAAACGGTTCCACTTCATAAAAAAATCTTGTCTAAAAAAAGAGTCAAGCATAGACACTTAATTAAAAAATTGATAGACTATGACAATAACCATAAAATCTAACCCAATAGATCACCGGTAATAGTCACATTGATATATGGGGAGATCATGAGTTGCCACGCATGCTGGAGTTGCATGGGATCACAACAGAGAGATGCTGCATGGTTTTTCTTACCATATTGGAGATTGAAAATGGCATGGGATCTTGGATATCACTTGGTTCAAGTTAAAAGTGATTGTGAAGTGGTGGTTCGAACGGCATAGGGCAGAACAATGGAACTTCATCCCTATGGAAATGTGTTTCTTGAGATTCAAGATTCTTCTTCATAGAGATTAGAATGCTTCAGTTATACACTATGATCGTGAGTCGTGACGTAATTTGGTTGCTGACTCGAATTCAATAATCCACTGTGATCATGACATGAATTAATTTCATAATTAAATTTTAATTTAATGAAATAAAACTTATCATTTTAATTATATTTACATTCATTAATTAGTATGATACATATAACTAGAAATTAAAATAAAGGTTCAAATCCAGCTCGTGCATGTAACAATTTAATTGGAAAAAAATTTACACATTGCTTTCAACATCTCAGGAGAAATATTCTCTACTATCAATAAAATCTACTCTTTATACTTATTAAGAAATTAAAATAATTCAATACATTTTGCTGACACAGTTAAATGTAGTTTTATTAACTTTGCCTTTTTTTGGGTCATGCATTAACTTTCCCTTCAACCTAACATTTAACCAACTCAAAATTCAGTTAAAAATACTTAAAAAATTGAATTAACGGAAAAATAACATATATACGTGTAACAATCGAACTTTGAAGATCTCCAATGATCTCAAAATATGCTCTATTGTCTTCAAATTTATGGGCGAAACATACACGTACGCAAATTGAAAGGATAAAAAAGTGTTTGCGGCTGGTGTATGTGACAGACATTAAGCTCAACCTATTAATGCATCTGTTATAGAAAGGCAACTTAAGGCATGTTTGTGGACATTATATCACATTAATAATGCAGAACGGCTAGACATTTGCAAGTATTAAATTAAACGCCAAGATTTTATCTTTACATTTTGATGAGGTTACTCATCCCATCTACATCAAAAATAAAAAAAGAGATGAGGGCATCTCTTCACTATCTTGGTATCTCCCCAAAGCTTAACCATGGTATTTAATAAACCAAAAAGAACGACTATTTTGATGCATGTCATTTTCGTTATCGCAATTAATTAAATGAAATCCCATAGAGCTCTTGAATTTTATGCGGCAAGTTTATGGGCTGCTTCCAAAACTAGCAACTAATCATTGTTTGGAACGCTTCAAATAGACCAATACGCCAATGCCTGTCAGAACAACAGCACCCGCAAGAACAGCTGAACTCATAGATAATAGACTACTTTTTTGTGCTGTTGCGGTAACAGAGTCTGGAGCCATTGATTTGTTTGAATTGGCAAACTCCAAATGCAACCTTAGCGCCTGAAAGATGTTTTATTTAGCATGTATATAACAAGATCAATCAATTCATACAAGATTAAGTCACCAAATAGTAAAAGTTAAACACGTCTTTACCTTTACTCCAACTGATCTAGCGTAGTTAACAGCAGCAACAAAATCGCTATCAGTTGCAAGAAGAATTTTATCACCTTCATCATCCTCATACTAGAAACAAAAATAAAAGTCACTATTATAACCAATGCATAAACCATAAACAAAAAGGCAAAGGAAATTAACTTGCATTACACACCATAATCACAGGACGTTCTTCATCATCAACATTACCAATTCTTTGCATGATAACAGACATAAGCTCCTCTAGATGCTCAGCCCCTGAAAAACATATCCAAATAACAACAGCCTATTAGATAACTCGAAAAGGAGATTCCTGCAAGAATCAAAGAGTGGGGAGGAAGTTACAGAATTATATCAACAGGATCCAGATATCAATGTGCAAGAACGTTGACAGTAAATATCCCCAAGTTCTTGCTATGCTTTTCACCAGAATGATCACTCACCACAGTTTAATCGATGTACACGGCCCTTAGGGTCCTCAAATTTAAAGATGAAAGAATTCCCAAAGCCAACAGACGGATATGTAGACTTTGCAGTCTCTGCTGCTTCTGAAGCCATGAACCCAGAGACATCACTGCATTCAAACATATTCCATGTTGCTTTAAAGAACAAACCATACGTTTGAACAGAATGTATACTGTATAGTACCATAGGGTACCTGTGAGTGTCATAATCATCCGGTGGGTCTAAAGCAAGTGCGGAATCCCAAAATGTTTGCACAATTGTGTTTGCCACATCATTAACAGCTCCGGAGCTACTTTCAACCTACAAAGCACACAGAATAGTAAAATCATATAAATGTATAATTGTGCCAAACATCGACATTCAATATTCAGTATAATTCAACATAAACCATAAAATCTAAAGCAAACCACACAATGCAACTCGTTCCTTAAACTCAGTACAATACACAGGGTCCACATTTAATTGCAACAAAATACATCAAATATTAACTTGTGATTCTCAATACGCAATATAATAAACTTCAGCACTGCTATACTGGAAGGGATGGTGCATGTATCACAGAACTTGGACATGCTAAAAGTAATATAAGCATTGCCACGATGAGGTAAAAAGTGGCATGCAAGGTTCAGATAGATGATGTACTTGGTCAGACAGATCTAATGAAGTTCCCATGGCTGATAACACACGATATTTTGATAGTTCAAGGAGACAAACTAAATCATAATAAAGGCACTGTCTTCAAATAAAGGAGATATTAATGCTGCCATAACTAAAATTAAAAGGGGAAGTTGCTTTCAAATCTGATAACCTTTGGAAGGGAAAAGGAAGTCTTTTAGATATCTACCATTTAAAAACTGACACAGCATATAGGATTTCCCGTACTAATATACAAACTCTCAAGCACCTCATGCCAGATCCTATCATTATTGAGACTGTAAAATAAAAGCATTTCCTGTACTCTATTCATTATTACTTATACATATCCCAAACACAAGTTACCATTGAAATTGCAGCATGAGTTATCTGCAAAACATCCACACAAGCAGCAACGTATCCATCTGCACAACAAATGATAATTAATATCTACATTCTACAACATAAGAAACAACCTATGATATTAGTAAAGCAAAGCTCACCTCTGTCCGCCACAGGAAGATGTAAGAACTTTCCATCATGCATCATATGCAGTGCATCAAGAATCGTTGTCTCCAATGATGCACATTCAGGGTTTGGAGTCATTACCTGAGGAAAAAAAAAGAGATATGGAGAGAGTAACAGAGAGGGAAAATAGGAGAGAAGAAATCAAACGGAAAAATCAGAGCCAATAATATTTTTAAAAAAATCTCAGAATAAACCTTTTCTCAACTAAAGTTACTTGAAAAAAAAAAGATCAAATAAGAACAACCTTTTCAACTAGAGTTAATTCAGGAGATAGACTTTGAGCCACAACCCGCATAAGAATGTCCTTTGAACTGCAGGAAAGATTCACATGACAATAAATTATACAACAAGCATGAAGTATGGGTCACAATCGCATATCTTACAAGGAGATTTCTAGCCTCAAAAACATGCTATCAGGAACAGTATTCAAAATTAAGAACTTTAAAGGGAAAAAGTTGTATTATTACGTGAGTATCCCCTGAATCTTGTTTCTTTCAACAATAACAGTTGAATTAACACGCAAATCCCGCATCTTTTTTGCAGCTACATAGACAGGATCTGATGCTGATGAAATAGCAACCCTGGAAATACATAAAGCTACAAAACTTGGTGAGGCATAGCTTGGCAAACCAAACAAGAAA